CCTCCCTTCTTGCATAGCCTTCCTTAGCTTTAGCTTTTTGCCGCCACGACCCATTAAATTAAAAAGACCATAAGGGGGACAAAATAAATAATAATAAATTAATAATAATTTCTTGGCCGACAAATCTTTTACGCTAAGATTTTGTTTCTTTGAAAATTTTATTTAAAGCATACCACGCACATGCACATGCACATGCATATTAAGATAATTTTAACATAAGTTCTACTCATTTTGGAAAAATTTCTGGGTACTGGGTCACCTCAAGGAAATATGTAAAAATGGTTAAGCACTCAATTAAGTGTGAAACTGTTTTGAGTCAGACTTTTTTATTCGTTGCGTTTCTGTCGTCGTCGTCGTCGTCGTCGTAAGTAAACAACAGGTATTTTGTCCGCCGTTATATGGTATGTGCAATGGATTTAGCAGAATATTTGTTACTTTGCCTGGTTAATACGTTTGCTCCTTGAAATCATGAAATTTCTTCAATTTGCCTCTAAAGGCAAAAATAATTCATGCAAACGAAGATTGAGTTGGCAATAGTCGATCCTATCCTTGTCTGTGCGTAAGCCAATCAATCAATGAATGGAATGAGTATATAACTCCTTCAGTTACGTATATTAAATACACGTACATAATGGATAATAGTAAAGTATACGTAGAGCTTCTTGTCTTAATAAACATAAGATTTACTAAATCAATTTCTTACGCTCTCTACCACACTCTGTAGAATTTATTGTAAAAATTAAGTGCGTACGCGCGGATGCACGCAACACCTAATATGATTAAGGAGAGCATACCAATGCAATGGGTTTAGAAACATTTTCAAAAACAATTTATGCCTGGCTGTCCGTCCGTCCGTCCGTGCATTTTTCTAATTACTCTCTAACGCGGTATTTTGGCTCAGCAACGAATTCCATTGACTTGCCCATCTGCCCGAAAAAAGTGAATGAATGTAGGATAGGATGGGTATTGGTCTCTTTTAAGTCAACATTTAAAAAAAAAAAATACAATTTAATATTAATAATAGAATGTTATTAATCAGTCCAGAATAACAGTTTACAACATGTAAATCTACTACGGCACATATGGAAATATTGGGTAGCAGTTGCAGCTTAACCGAAAACATTGTCTATCTGACTGTATTCGAAAGTGCAACTTTAGAACAGAACTTTTCCCATTCCATCCATTGAGAATTTGTCTTATTGTGAAAGCTCGTTCCTGAACATCATTTCCGCCAATTAGATCAGTTTCAGTTTGATTATCGTTTGGCAGCAAAGACTTTCTTCAGAAAAAAAGTCTCTCTTCCCCTTCTGAACGATTATACTCGTAACTTTTACTCAATTATTATTAAGCGGACTAAAGCCTTTAGGATAACATACGTCAGGAAGAAAGGAAAACTGAGCCATTATTCGTTAAAGAAAATTTTCCAATAATATCTTCATGTATGGATTTTTATATCTATCGTGAGAACTCAATAATTCGTTTGGAGAACACATGTTTCTTTTCCTTTCACTATTTTATTATTGATTAGGCTTGAAGAACAACAATTTTTATATAAAAATGAAAATTATGTCAAGGTCATCATCCATTAGATATTTTTATATAGAGTGCGTTTGTGTTAGCTAGCAATGGTATCAAAAGAAAAAGGATATGCGAGACTTTCTATTCGACATATATAAATAAAGTCCACGATAAATATTACATCAATTTCCAAAACTTTCATTTTAAAATCATGATGATTTTTTAAATGAAATGACTCACGTATATATATATATATCTGCAACACAAATGCAAGCATTTGTATGTCCATCACCGAAGTATGAGGAGTATATTCATTTTGTTGAAACGTTTGCAGCGCCCAGAAGCAAGTTGTAGAGAAGCCACAGAGTATATGTGTATTCTTGACCAGCATCAAATTCTGACTGATCGACTTAGTCCTTAGTCCGTCTGTGTAATGTCTGTTCATGGCCGCAAAAATTAAGCTCTCGACCTCAAATTTAGCAGAAACGTATTGGAAGTTCTTACACGCGAGTTGATATTGAAAATGGCTCAAATCGGTCGAAGAGCAAGTCAACAGGGCTACGTGCATCGAAAACATCTGTTTTCTGAAAGGAATAAAAAATTGACTTTTTCCTCACTACTCGTGAACTGTAGGAGATAAATGTACAAAAAATTGAACGCATATTCTATGAGCGATGCTGTAGTACCCACAAAAAAATTTAAAAAAAATTAACCACGCCTATCCAATATTAGAGTTTATCAATCAATGAATTATTTTTTCAATATCTTCATAGCGCGCAGAAACAAGCTGCAAGAACCCTATAAAGTATACAAATTCTTGGCCACCTTGGTTACACCTTTTGAATGCACGTAAACATGTCCGCCTGTCCGTGTGTCCATCCGTCTGTTTGCGTAACTTTGCACCATTTACGGTAAACATTCTTCAGTCAGCGAAAACGAAGACATCGCCTAAAGGTTTGCAAAAAAAATTTGAAATTGACTCAAACTTTTTAAAGGACATGCCTACAACGCTTACATGCCTCAACAAGAAAAATTTTTATTTTGAAAATAGAAGAAATCAAGTGCGCCCGCAACTCCACATTATAGAGCATGAGAATTTTGTTCTTTTATTTCGTTCGTCTTTTTTGGGGTAAACGGCGATGGGTATAAAAGATTCGATCTTGACCGAATTCAATGTTCTTGCTTCTTCTCACTTGTTGTCGTTAAATAAATTTTTATTAATTATGGACATTGCCTGACCTGCTTTGAAAATAAATATTAAAAACTTATTTTCGACCATTTACATCATTTTATATTACTAAAAAAAAAAAAAGAAGAAGAAGAAGAAGAAGAAAATTCTCATAAAATATAACAATCTTTCAATATTTTTGTGCCAAAAACAAGAAAAAAAAAATGAAATGTTGATGTGAGTGTTTTCTGGCAAAAGGCCCGAATGATTATTTGATACCTATCACTTTAATTGCGGAACATTATGAAAGAGAAATATTTATAAAATCGAACGTTTTAGGTTAGGTATATCTATCCTAAGCAGCTGATGATGCTTAGCCGTGCATAATAACACTTGTATTGCATTTCAACTTCAATTTTGTGATGATTCGAAATTTTTGGAAATCAATTTTAGTTTTTTGCTTTTTTTGGGTGGTACTCGAGAGAGGGAGTCGATTCAAATATGGCTGAGTAAGCACTTTTCTGGAAAATTTTCCTCTCGACGGATTGATAGTTCATTTTCAATAGAATATTGAATAATACGACTACCGTAATAAATGGCGTTTATCGCTTATCAGCAATGGACATAGGCACTACTCAAAATAGTTGCTAGTTCACGGCATGGCTTAGTTCTTGTGACGAATGAATTGTGGCAAGGGTTTAACGTGGGTTCCTGCCTGAAATGCTTAACCCCACGGTGGCCCAAGCCACTTTTAAGCGTACTACGTCCCCTGGCGAGTTAGACAATCCCCACAGAGTAGGGACCTAAACAGCACCAGAGTCCAGAACGGTTTATTGTGTATGGAACAATAAACCCCATTCTGGTGAATGGCGAGGCCTAGCTGTACTCAAATTGTTCCATTTTAGCTAGGAACTCGCCAACCACAACAACCACGAGTACTCCACGAAGGGCCGCACCCAAGCAGTCAGGACTCACAAATTGATCAACGCTGTGAATGAGACGAACGAGCAAGAAATAAAGTTTCCAATAATCGAAAAGTGTCGAACGAGGCAATTGGGCAAAAGTAATGGACTAGTTAGAGAGCGAGAACGAGCCATCCGAAAGAGCAGCCAGTTGTCGCTGAAGCAATGGCAGAGTTAAGATATTTATTCGATGGGGAGAGGAAGAACCTTCGGAGGAGGTGGAGTTAGGTGTCGCAAAACCAATAACGTAGCTAAGGTGGTGGGATCCCAAAAATAATTCTAAAATCGAAAATTAATGACTTGGTGCTAAAGAACTTGTAATGGTTTGCACAGCGATCCACCCACCAATCCATTCGCGTACTTGTTTAACTTTACAAATCCGCGTGTCAGTCAAGTCCCGTTAGAGTGGTAATCATTAGGTACCATATCTGGCGAGTACACTGGGCGTAGTAGCAGAACTTCTCATTCGAACTGCAACAGACTGTCGTGGCCGTTGAACCCAAACCCCTTTATTGGGATATGATTGAACAGCATCATCATAAGCCTCTGAACGTGTTTGGTAAATTTCGGCAGCAATAACAAAATAAATAAATTTGGAAGAAGAAGAATTTTGAACGCTCAATGATTAGTGTCAGCATACGCTGAATAAATCAGTGATATTGAAATGGAAAACTGTTTTACTATGTAGAGGAAGATCAAAACCATCGAATTCAATCGTTATGTATACTCTGGTATTTCCTTTTATTTTTATAATTTTCACCTGCTGAAGTCGCTGATCAATATTTTTGCAAACACTTAATAATAACACAAGACACAAGACTCTTGCTTTTCTCTCCTCTCTATTGGGGGGGCATAGATCGAATAGGTATAGATAGATACCTAAGGATTAAAATCACTATGAATTAAAAATTTTTTCAATTGCTATCAGCTACATAATGCAATCTTTTGTTTCTTGTCTTGTCTCTGATTTTTTTTCTTAAAGCTTTTATGTACAATTGTATATAAATTTTTGGCCAAAGCCTTTGGCCATTTACAATACACTGTACAACACTGTACACTGATAGATTATGTTGGGTCAAGACATTAAAAATTCTATATTTTTTGCTTACCTTTTTGGTTGAAACACATTATTATTATTATTATTATTATTATTATTTGCTCACAAAACACTGCGTCTTATTTATCGATAACTTTTCAATATCATTCAGTTATTATGGTAACTGTTGTAAGGACGAAATACATTATTTGTCCATAGCAAAATCATTAATAGCAAAAGCCATTCGCCAGTCGAGACGACATCGCGTCATATAAATAAAAAAAAAAAAAAAAAAAAAACAAGACAACTAAAGAAATTTCTCCAATGAAGCGATCAAACAACAACAAGTTTTAATTTATTTTTAATTTTTTACTTGGACCGTAAAAAACTTGAGTCCAAAGGCGCAACAGCGCTTTATTTATGCTTACGTGTTCTAGTATTCACTCAATTTCTTATTATGGTAACCATTGCAACGTGTGAAATATTTGTCCATAACAAATGCTTAAGGTAAGCCATTCGATGAGACCGCCACGCAAACAAAGCTAAAAAGAACAAAAGGAAAGAGTTATCTGCTAAAGTTCGTCAAAGTAAATTTGAATTAATAATTTTTTTATATAAATTTCGGTAGAAATGAAGCATCAACAAGTTACGGTCGATTATTATACGATGTTTAAGACATCGATTGTTTATCTGCTATTGACTTTTCTCGGATATTTATTTTTTAAGTAAGTGCGCAAGCAAAACACATTAGCACTACATTTATGATGATGTTATTTATCTGTCTTTTGAATGCAGACTGATGCGGATCATGTACTATTTGCCTGCAATGTTGAAAGATCAACAAAAGCAATTCGAAGAGTTAGCCGATAAATATGATATAAAATTGGATAATAAAGATATTGGCGATATAAAAACGGACTCGTCCGAAGATTTACTAGAAACATTGAAAATGGATGAAAAAGAAACTGACGAGTTAAGTAAATTTGATAAAGAAAAGTAATTGATTTCATTAGTGCCACAAAATATATTTTTTTCAATTTCGTCGTAATAAACATTGTTTTGTTATCTATAAAAACAATATATGTCTTAATGGGGCGGCCATATATATATGTGTGGGTAATCACCGTTATTCATTCATTCATTCATTCATTCATGCTTTTCGACTGCCAGGTGTCAGTTTAATAAAAATTTTCCCAAATCAAGTATAGATTTAACCTCAATTCGATTGAATACAAACAACAAATACAAGACTGCGTTGTAGGCGGGGGGGTAAGGACGCAAAATAAAAAACCAAATCACTTTGCCTATTATTATTATTATTATTACTATTATTATTATAAATTTAGCCAGAGAATAAATTCTAAGACTAAAGTCTTAAAGCACTAGCATCTAAGGCTTTCGGTTTTATATTGAAAACTCTACCGCACTTGAGGTTTGAGAATCCACGACCATTGACGACTTGCTAGTCGAGATTGAGACTTGCCTACTCGGTCACTCAGGCGGATCTAATTCCGGAATAAGAAAAAAAAAGGGCCCCCTTGTTCCCAGGCGAGGGCATATTATTTATTAGAAATCCTGCTCCTCAAAAAACAAAAATTTTCACTTTGATTTTATAATAAAGTGATCAAAAAGTAAGACCAATAGTCAAGTTAAATTGATCGGATGTACCGAACCGAATAACAAATGTTTTACTTTTCTAAACAGTATTGCCTTCTGACAGATCTCTCTGTCAAATTTCACATATTCGACCACTCGCTAGTGTTTGACTTGTGTGCTTGTTTTTGTACGACACGAAGACTATCTTTGTCCTATTTGTACTCGGCGTGATTTTATTGAGCAAAGAAATTGCGTTAAATTTTGTTTGCTTAATGAAGTGAAATGACTCCCGCAGCAACAAATCAATCGATCAAAAGTCAACATGTCGTGTGAACAGTTTTCTGCGATTATCATTGTGTGGAGTTGTGTTGTCCTTCCGCCGGTCATTTGCATCATTAATAGGGTATTCCAGTTTTAAGTGAAAATGCGATGGTTCGCAATATACGAAGAATAGAGGTTCTAGTCATTATTTCTGACTTTTTCAACAGGCCATTGGGAATTGTTTCAGTTAATCAGCGATATTAAGAGCAATAATCTTAACAGAAAACTTTGAGGAATGCCTTGCAAGTAGTGGACAGAATTGTTGATAGAGATTACGCGAAAACCTATTATAGAATCTCTTTGAAAGTGATTGGTAAGAATAGATTTGCAATCCTTGAAATTGCATTGTTTTTCACTAAATTTCGATTGGATGATTATGGAAGAAAGTCCGAAAATTTTGTAATGGAAAACTTTGAGATAAAGTAAAATTTTTTCTCTTTCATTAGCTTAATGAGCGATATCTAGGAAGGAGCAATTTTTAATAATAATCTCGGGAAAGACGAATGAGACTCGGAGATTACGGAGATCGACTTTGAGTAGTCCGTGAACTAATTTATAATTTGATGAATATATTCCGATAAAATTTCAATTCTGTGAAAAGTTTGATTAATTTTTTGCGGAAAATGGTTGATATTATCAGATGGTAATCGAGCGAAGGTTAGAAATTTCTGTGAATTTAGACACTGGATAAACAAGCATATAATTAATGCAGATCTTAAGCATTTCCATCGATTTCTTCCTTCCTTTTAAGTTAAGTTGCCTTTGTTCGTTTTTTTTTTTTTAAAGAGAATTTTAAGCCGACTGTTGTAATAAACAATATTTGCAGCGGTGAAGCAATTTGCTGAATGTACAGTGAGCGATTATTTATAATACAAAACAAATACAAATGCAAAACAACAGTTTGCTATAATCGAAACGTGTCTGTTGTAAAGGGGATACACTTTTGTTGTGAGTTCTCTTCCCTTCTACATTACCGTTTGCATCTTTTAAGAGAGACATATCGCTACCACCTGTGGCCGAAATTTTTATTTTATTGCAGATTGAAAGTTTTCCTGCACAAAAAATTGTCAGGAAATTTTAAAAGTTCCCTTTAACCGCTACACACTGTTCCGTTTTACATGCTCGTGCAGGATGTTATTTAACTCTTTGCAGTTGCACTCTGCTCGTTCGCAAAGAACTTTTGCAAAAAATGTAGAAATGTTTGCAGAAGACCTCGTATAATATTATCCCATTATTAAAGAGGATAATTTCTGCAAATAAAATGTTTACCCCTTCAACTTAGTCTCGTCACTTTATACAATGTGCAGCAGAGAAGGAATGATTGCAATGAGGATACGCTCGCTATTACAGCAATGGGGAAAATGGGGAAATTCCGCAAAACATAGCGTCGTTGCTGTCTTTTAGCTATAAAAACGAGGAGAACTATTGCGAACTCTGCAAGAAAAGGAATTTCATTACATCTGAGAGTAATTCAAAAATAATTTGGTCATATCGGAGACCAAGCTCCTCTGAATTTGTTTACAATTGGGAATAATTGAAAAAGAATTATTCTCCAAAGACGTTCTTCTATGTATGCTTGCAATGCTTGGAATTTTATTTTCATTGTGCTAAAAAAATAGATGAAATCGCCGGCGGGGAGAGCACCTTTTGAACGGTTCTATTGTGAAAGTGGAAAAAATGGAAGTTTCACAGACGCCAAAAAAAGTATCTATGTACTTGATCAACATCAAATTCTGAATCGATTTAAGCATGTCCGTCTATCCGTCCGTCTATGGGTAATGTCTTTTTGTAAACTTTGTCCTCGCTGCAAAAAAGGAAACTATCGACCTCAAATTTTGGGCAGAAAACATTGGAAGTTCCTGCATGCAGGTTGGTATTGAATAATGAGACGCGTCGACACTATCACATAAACTGAGAACACCTCTGCCTATTAAAAAAGCCTAAAAAATTGGTTTTTAAATCATTATTCATAAACTATAGCAGATAAATATATGCTGTAGTACCGCCAAAAAAAGTGAAAGAATTGACCACGCCTATCCAATATTAAATTGTGTGGCAAAATTGAATGATACCGCGCAGAAATAATCTTCAAAAACTCCATAAAATAATAAAAATTCTTAGCCATTTTTCAATTTCATGTGGAATTCATGTAAGCATGTCCGTATGTCCGTCTGTCCACATGTTTGCCTACGCAACTATGAAGTATTTGTGATAAACATTCTCTCATTAGCGAAACTGAAGATAATATCTCCTACAAGTTTGAAAAGGAATTTGAAATTGACTTGTACTTTTTAAAGGACACGCCTACAACGGCATATGGGACAAGAGGTTTTATTTTGAGAATAGAAAAAATCAACCGCGCCATCTCCATGTTACAGGACATGAAAATTTCGTTCTTTAATTTTTTCCTTTGTTTCATAAGATGATGACGGTGATGAGCATAAAAGATTCGGTGACGATTGCATATAATTTTCTTATTTGTTTTATAAACTTATAAATTCGAAATAATTTCACATCATATGTAACACATTAACATTTGACATCGCGTGACATTATATCGTTGAGAAAGCCTTAACAGAATTTTTGCCCATACAACGTAATAACGGTTAATGTAATTGAGGTATTTCCGCGTACATTAACAGGGAAATCAATGGGTAAAAGGTAATGTGTGTGAACTTTCTTCCATGCTTCTTGCTTGCAAATACAATGCAAAGCATTACGTATTTATTTTTATGATATCTATTAAAAATTATTGAAAAGTTAAGGGTATAAGGGACTTGTGTTTCTATTTATAATAATATCTAGAAGGGTACAACAGAAGCCTTCAAAACATATATATATATATTTACCTATGAGGTTCATTAGTCTATCTATTGTGCATAGTTAAATTCCCGCCATTAACAAACTTTGCTTTTGTTGTTATGTCATTTCATTTTAGCTACAATTTTTAAATTCCGGCTAAGTAAGGCATGTGATAATAGAATCATTTTGGTTCTAGGTCTTACAAGGCCAGCAAATTATTAGTGTAAGAGACAAATATATATTTTTTTAAAAGGGAAGAGACTCCAAAGTGAATGAAAACCAGAAAATATGTTTAAGTCCCAATCAAAGCTTTAGGCATCGGAACGCAGGTGAACGCTAAAAGAATCGATTAGTCCCGCTTCTGCGATGGTCCTTTGACTGGATCTGGAAAACATTTTTTAATTATTTTCTAATTCTGCATTTCAGCATAAGCTTCTACATGGAACATCAATCACAGCCAACTTGTTACAACTTATTAGCTATAATATCTTTAAGGCCTTCACATGTGGCGCGTATGCGGAATTTATCTATATAAACCTTAGTAAGACTTTTGATAGAATTAATCATAACCAACCGATGTTTGAATTACGATTTTCTGATTTTCTTCCTAACTTCGCTAAATGGATACGATAATACGATGGGTCGCTTAAGATGCTGCCTAACTCTTTTCATTCCGATGAGATTCTCGTAATTTCCGGTCTTCCTATGATCCGATCAGTTGTGTCCGTTCTTAAGTATTTTATATATGAACGGCAGTCCTCCGTCTATGATTGAGATGATGTAAAACTGATCGTCTCCTTCAATGTTGAACACTACTGCCTTATCCTGCAATTCGACTTAAACAACATGACTGCATGACTGAGAATTTGAGCGACGTTTATAATCTTATCTCGATAATGGGCTGTATACGAAACACGAAAAAATACCCTTAATGCTAGTCGGAAACTGGCGAGGTCAACCCTTAGCAACACGTGAAACTAATTAAGTTATATATTCCTTAATTAACTACTAACACGGTGTTGAATTAAGGATTACCAAGCGTTTTCCAGGCTGTAACTGCCAACTAACATATACAACTAGTTTCACTTTTTCACGGGACATGGTTTGCCCACAATCACCTTTCAAAATGTGCTTATATGTCAGCCTATATATACCCATGGGTTGCCAATAGTAGGTAAGAAAATTTTCGCTTTATCAACTTCATTTATGGTATACCATTAAAAATGGTATAATTTCAAATATTGAATTATTTACATAAATGCATTCTTTTTTTTGTAATGCTTTGTACAAAAATATCCGAAAAGTTCCATTTTAAATGCATTTTGATCTAAATCTCTCCGAGACTTCGTTCAACAGAATTCTGTTAACGACTTAACGAGGTCTGTAAAACAATTTTGGTTTGTGTCTTTGCTAGTTATATTTAAAGTACACAGCACAGCATCTCCATAGAATAAAAGTTTAAATTTTTACAAATTTATCTGTTGTGGGTTATGAGTAATCAACAAAAAACCAATTTTTTATCCCTTTTGAAAAGAAGATATGTCCTCCCTTTACGTAGTATTTTTGGCGTGTCCTTCGACCAACATGGCCCATTTTCAATACCAACTTGCGTACAACAAGTTCCCTTATTTCTGCCAAATTTGAAGGCGATGACTTCATTTTTGCGAGCAAGCGAATGTTTACAGAGCAGACATTATTCAGATGGACAGAGGGAAGTGTTTAATTCGATTCGGAATTCGTAGCCAAGCAAGAATATATATATACTTTGTAAGTTCTCTGATACTTCGTTCTGGGTGTTGCAGGCGTTTGGAGAAAGTGAATATACTCCTCATACTTCGGTGATGTGTACAAAACGTAATCAAAATAGTACTTTTAAGAGGAACGCATGCACCGTCGAATCACAATTCTGGCAGCATTGGTATCTGTTCGAAACCACTGATTGGCACAAAGTAAGTTTGATCCACGTATAAGGGACAATATATGCACCGTTTAGATCTTATGGAATGAGTGAACACGGGCATAATCTAAACTATGTACCAAACGGATCCGATAGAGAAGGAATCCCCGTAACGAAGAAATAATTTTACATGATGAATATATTCCACGTATTCCATGAGGTGAGTAATTTAATGTTAATGTAAACAATAATTCATTTCTTCACATTTGTATGAGTGGTTTGAGTTGTTTATGTCAATGGATCACACATATGTTGGCAAACCCAAGGAAAACGCTACACTTCAAAATACTACGAAATGTAAAGCTTAAAATATTCAATCTCACGTTTCATGAAAGCCCGCGTATTGGAAGATGCCAATGACATTACATGACGCGATCAAAACTTAGCAAAATCACTTTCCCGAAATGTTATTATTTTTCACTTTCTGTCATTGAAAACTAGGTAATCGGCTTTCTTCCCGTGTGAGGGTTTGCTTTTTAGAACAACTCCTTCATATGTTAAGGTCTAAAAAGTAGACCTATGTGATCCAAATTTCCTATTGTTTGTTGTCTATCCTCTAAAGGCTGCTATAGACTAATTGTCATCATAAAATATTAAGCCTTTTCCTGAATGCCTCCTAATACTATTCAAGAGAAATCTTATATAGAGTGAGGTCCAAGAAGTAGACCCACGTCCTTCAAATTACTCTTAAGAACAAATTTTCATCATAAAACATTAAGAATTAGGCCTTCTTAGCACATTAGGGTTTACGCATTCTCTGCACTCTCCTGTGCGTTGGTATTCAAAAAATAGACCTATCTGGTCCAAATTAGGTAAGGTGAAGATAAAGGTAAAGGTGATTTCTTTGTTCATTTACTATTATGAACCAATTTTCACCACGAAATATTGAAAATTAGACCTTTTTTACTATGCAAAGACTCAGTCTTCGCTCAGAAACGCTTATATGCGAGGTTGGCAGAAAGCCGGAACAATTCTGACCTAACAAATTTTGAATCCTACAATCATTAGGAATTTAAGGCTTGCAAGATCTTTGTGTTATAAATTGAATAGAGAAGGAGTGTTATTTGCCACCTTTTGCGGCATATCGTGGGATTATTTAGTGGGAAATTATTTAACTAAAAAAAACTACAAATTTTTATGTTAATAAATTTAATTTATTTAAAATAATTATTCCCGAAACACTTAACATTGTTATTAAAATTTTTAAAACCCATTTCTTCTTACTAATATATAATAAATATTTTTTCTTAGAAGGTTTCTTAACAATAACCCCCCATTTCATAGGCTGAGACTTGGAGACTTGCTGTCTTCATTCCACACCTACCTCAGCAAAACGATTCGAAGTGAATTATTTGCTTTATTTTTTTTTTCTCTTCTTAACCTTGATTTTTTAAATTTTATTATAGATATCACGATTTCGTCAATTACATGATGTTGGAGAAAGCCTGCTGGTCAACAATTTCTGGCAATTGTAACCTGGCCGTAATCGGTGAATTCGGTGTTGGTCAAACGTAGACACTTTGTTTCCTAAACTAGGTTAATAGGTTGGTAGCTTTTATATTCTGTTTTATACAAATTTTTTTAAAAACCTTCTTTTTATTAATACTATTATATAACAAATTTTTTTTCTTATTAGGTTTCTTAATAGTACCACCGCATATAAAGGCTGCGACGAGGATTTTCTATCTTGACGCCGTACCTATACCAATCTTGGAAATGTGGTTTGTGAGGACGATTCAATACTAGTCGGTTTTGGACACTTCCCATTTAACGAAGAAAGCTTACAAATTGAATTTATAGAACAATTATGGTAAACAGCAATTTACGTAACAGGAAACGTTTTATATAATAATTTAAGTTTTCCTTTTACTAGATATATTCATTTTTATTTATGTCATGTAAAAATGTACTATAATCACAAAAATAATAATAATAAAACAATATTCCTTTTTAATAAAATACAAAGTAAGAATAAATCAATTTGTTTTGTTGTGTACTTGACGTAAAAAAAAGTAGTACATGCGTAGATAATGTGACGTAGACAATGACGTCATATGTAGACAATGCCTACATGTATATACATGTATATTCGCTAATGGAAATGTTGATGGCATTGCTATGTTTATATACAACGTGTTTAGCAACATAAAATGTTGCCCAAAAATATGCTGGGCATATGCATGCTTTTGGCAAAAACGGAAACTTTGAAGCACTGTAGCGGCCGTAATACGCCCCTTAGGGGCATGGTTACACTTGGAATGCGTTGGGGCCGACCCAAGGAATCGAATGGACCCAGTCCCGATGACCTAGGGCCGCTAGGAGCGCCAATAAACCGCATCAAAGTTGACCATTTTCACGTTTTTGATGGAATGGTCAGGAACATTTGAGAAATGTTTATATACATAGAAATATGTATAAACAAAAACATCAAAACCCCACCACAAAAAAAAATTTTTGGAAAAAAATTTTACAAAAACAACAAAAATTTTTGGGGAAAAAATTTTATTTACAGGAAAAATTTTTAGAAAAAAATTTTACAAAAACTACAACAAATTTTTGAAAAACAACAATTTTGCAAAAATAACAGGAACAAGAAGAGGAAGAAGAAAAAGAAGAGAAAGGAGAGAAAGAAGAGAGAGAAGAAGAAGACAGAGGGGGGAAGAAGCAGAGAGAGAGGGGAAGAAGAAGAGAGAGAAGAAGGAGAGAGAGAAGAAGAGAGAGAAGAAGAAGAGAGGGGGGAAAGAAGAAGAGAGGGGGGAAAGAAGAAGGGAGGGGGGAAGAAGAGAGAGAAGAAGAGAGGGGGGAAAGAAGAAGAGAGGGTGGAAAGAAGAAGAGAGGGGGGAGAAGAGAGAGGAGAGGGGGAAGAAGAAGAGAGAGAAGAAAAAGAGCGAGAGAAGAAGAGAGAGAAGA